TTTTATCAACTCGAACTATTTTTCTGTGGGAAAAAGAGAGAAAGAATTGATTGGTTTGATAATTTTAATTTTTGAGGTAATTGCAATCGCTTATATCTGAATTGATCATCGTCCATTGTATGTTGCTCCTATCCCAAGGTATGTAAGTCAATGTGTATACAGTTATTCGTTTTCTATCAACTTGAACTATTTTTTTGTGGAAACAGCCATTTGAATTATATCGTCTTGAACTATTCTACACTGGAATCAAGGGAAATAATAGATTAGTTTGAACATTGTTTTTTCTGAGGTACTTATCTTCAAATAATTTTTTCAATTTATTTTCCAATGTATGTTTCCCCTCTTCCGAGGTATGTAAATCAAAGTATGTACAATTATTCGTTTTATATCTTCTAAATCTGTTTCACTGTGGGAAAATCGAGATCGAGAATTTATTAATTTGGAAATTTTATTTATTGAGGTGTCTTCAATTGGTCATTATGAATAGCTCATCTTCCAATGTATGTTGCTCCTCTCACAAGTTATTTAATTCAGTATGTATACAGCTATTCGTTTTTCATCATCTTGAACCAACTTTCTGTGGAATAATCAAGTGAAAGAATTAATTGGTTCGACAATTCTATTTTCTTAGGTGATTTCCATCCATTTTTCCAAATCGCTCATCTTCCAATGTATGTTACTCCTACCCCTAAGTATGTAAGTCATTGTGTATACAGACAACAATGCGATCGAAACCGCGGAACACATACTTTGCTTATGTAAACTGTAAAGTATTAGTATGCCCTGGTATGCCAAAGGCTGAATCACCTAGAACAGGTCTACCTCACACCTGCTGAGGTGGAGAATTCAACCGCTAGGAGAATCCTAGGCGAGGTTTGAAATATAAGTAATGAAATTATAACACTCCAATTTCAACCTATTCATTCCTTTCGATTATTTCTACTGAAAATATATGATAACAAAAATTATCATGACTTTGTGACATGATCGTGCATTTTTGGCATTTCTGGAATTAGCTCATGGAAAGTGAGGTTAGCTTGGCACTGTTAAGTTGATATATACCATATCCTCATAATGTCTCTTTATCGCTTCCTTGTACCACGTGACATAACCCAGTTAACACAAATTGATCTCAGAGATGTCAGTACACTTCACATTCATGATTGAGATCACACCCGCGATTCGATTTGTGAATCACGTCGACATCTCCAGATCCTCTATTCCGGACCCTTTTGGTCATTTTTCGCTTCACATTTAGATGCCGAATGGGACTCAAAAGTTAGCTGAATGTGACTCCAGATATCACGTTGAAATAAGACTCACATTGAGGTCACATTATAATCAGAATGTGAGGTTTAGAAGACCATCGACCATTTCTGAATGTGAGGTTCTTTTCGATTATTATACTGGTATCGTAGCGTCCCTGGAAGAATCATATTGTGCGTCTCAGAAATGCTACATACACATTGATTTTTGATGTCTCAAGTGAAATCACATCTAGATTGATGAAGGTATTCAATGAGAGAACTAATCGGTCTCGAATCTCTGTCAAATAGATCAATCAAGGGTTTCACAAGGCAACTCGATTTTATTGAAAATTAGTCTCATTACACATCAGAATAGGTAAGTAAGTACATGTTATGATGAGCAAAACTACCTAGATATAACAATGATTGAAATTAGAAAAACAGCGCAGGCCTAGACTTTTTCGAATAATTATACAGGGTATATATCTCCATGAGTTAACGCGATGAATATGGAGAACTGAAAGTAACACAAGAGAATCCAATATTTGCTCCTCATCTCTCCTTCCGTTGTAGCATGGTAACCAATCCCTGCTCAGAATTTCAAATTGTTCCAAGGTTGTCCAGATGACTTTGGGATTTGACATCTGAAAATGAATATAGAAACAATCAATTGATTTCATTTTGCCCATTTCCTGTACAGAATATCTTATAGAGAGTGAGTAGAGAACCATAATGAGAGTATTGAAAAATGTTCAAGTCACTTGCATATCTACGTGGGGTCGTGTAAGATTGAAAATATTTATGAGAAGATGAAATCACACTGCATACCTACTGTTCTATACCGGGTGACAAAGAAGATAGAGAATAGCTGCGGCGCATTTTTTCCTTCCATTCATAATATTTTGCAATAATTTTGTTCTTAATCAGACTTTCCCAATATACAATCAGGATATGCATGTTCACTTATACCCTGATCCCAAAATGATATATTCCAAGGTATCATTGTAAGTATCATTATATATATAGTCTTGAAATGGCGACGTGGTGTCGTCTACCCTGTCTTCATTGTCAACCAGTATATAGGTATATTATTGTATCAAGTTATGAACGTTGTAGTTACTTACCCTGTAACTTAGATGAGAAACACACAGTATCTTTAATCACAATCATGATTTCCGATTAGAAATAGATGCTTATTCAGTCTAAGCAATAACGCCAAACACGAACTGCATACCAACACCGAATGAACTAATGCACTGAAACAACGAAATGGACAAGACAAAAGCATGCCGTCGCTAAAGAATTCACAGACACGTGTACATCAGTCAGACCGACACTGACCGAGTGTGTACGAAACTTTACATAAGTCACATTGTGCGCTACATTCATGAGTATGCGAGTACACTGATAGTATTGTTCGATATTACTTTCATAAATGAATTTCCTTGAGATGTGAAAGAGATTCACATATTGAAGCATATTTTCGTTACTTCATTCTGCACAATGTGAATCAGTTTGTCAATTCAGATACATCAAATTATGACTCTCAACGACTGAAATTTCAGATTCTGAAATTATAGTCGTTGTGAAGTGAAGGGGCCTCATGAATATTATATCCATATTGGTCTCAGATCCAACAGAATGTGATGAAATTTGCGAACTATCTGTCACACAAGGAATTCCTTGTAGATATCAGCGATGCAATATTGTGATTCGCTTTTGTGACATCAACTGCCATGAATGCAACATCTCATAGATGTTTGTGTTAACTGGGAATGGAGACATTTCCATATTGATACTGATTAAACATACCAATAATTGAAGGAATTATGTGATGCAATTAATTTACGATTTCAAAAATGATTGATGATGTTGCGACATATCACTACACTGAGAGAAAACTTGAGTTATCATAATTGGAAATCTGATAACCGTTATTACGATATCTGCAATAAATAGGGGACAGATGTGTTCATGTGCTACCATAGATGAAGTGAATTTTCAGGTGACTTGTAGTTATGGCAGCTTATTCAATTTGCAAACTTGTATAAAAACACCGCTGCTGAATAACTACTACTTGTTCTAGTTTCTATGATAACACAGAATGTAGAATAGGAATTATTCCCATAAAATGTTGCAGTAACTCTCCACTCTACAGTGGTTATTAGACTATCGACATAAAACAGCATGTTTTTATTACTGGCACAACCATCTTGAGGTAACGCAGTAATTCGTCTCATTTTATTATAGTTATCTGATATCTGCATGAAACCTGACATTTCGACATGCTATTGTAATGTAGCTCATTTTCAACAGTTATCCCAATATTTTTCTACTCTAGTATATTCATCAAACAGTGGTAATAAGGTTATCAACATTATTCGATGGTATGCATTATGAAACCGTGCTTTGAATTACTGCAATGAAAATAAATATCCTATCCACACTATCACTTTTCATGATCCAAAGTTATTGTTTTCAAAAAAACAAAAAAATACGTTAAGTCTCTGAATTGAAATATTGGGGTATCTGTGGAAGTTTTTTGACATTACTCATTGATTTGTTCGGAGAAATATCATCTATATGCATTACTGACGAATTTATCAAGAAATGAGAAGTTGAATACTTATATTTACCCTTCCTTCGGAGTTATGATGAGAATTGTCAATAAAACTTCCCTCACAGAAACCCAGATATTTTGATTCAGAATCTCATCGATCATTTTGTTTTTGAAATAAACCAATTTTAGGCCTTGAAAAGTGGGTATGGAGAATACTTTTTTCATTGCAATAATGCAATGCACGGTGTATTCCACAGATCGGTTCACAGCCAGCACTAAAAGAAAACTTTGCTACATCACAAACATTCACCAACAAGACACGGCTCTTTCGATTCGGACGATCGAAACCATTGAACAATAATTGAACACGAGCACCCATGACCGAGAACAGAGAAATGAACGCGATCTGTATCTTTGTCAGCCACAATACTAATGAAACACTAGAGCGAACTGAGCCGAATTACGATTGTCGAATGATTGCCTAATAACCGTCATACATGTGAATTGCTAGAGTTATTCGTCAACGTACAATGCTAGAAACCCAAACAGCTATGATTATTGGGACGAACATTATCTGAATTCGCCAATGAGCATAATTCACAAAACGAGCTATGTCAATAAAAAATCTGAATAGACTGGAATTTATAAAATTCTCATAATGTCATAACACACCTGCGTTATGATGGTAGCAAATGTCCATTCAAGGGTATTACAAATGATTTAAGAAATCGATTTTTATAATTACAGAATGGAGAGAATACTGTTGTAATAATAAAATGATCAGGAATAGGAGATTTCCTTATAAAGGTTATTACAATCAGAGCTGGTAGATATTTTTAATATCCAGTTTCTCTCAGTGTAGCAGACAGACCACTTTGATTTTTGGTAGACTGAAAATCAAGCAAGAGTGTGGAGATAACTTTAGCTGACATCATTGAAACAAGAAAAACCAACTCATTTTCAATTTCTGTCACATCAAAATGTAATTTTCCTCAGTTTGTTGAGAAAGTATATTTAATGTTCTAATAAGCTCTGATTGACGTTGAATGAATCAGAACGGGCTTATTTCTGTCTACTATTCTGTAATCCAATAGTCATTATGGAAGCCATTAAGATATTCTAAATCATTTTCATGTCTGTGGTTGTTCATTTACTATTAGTAAGTAATGATAGAAATACGCCTCTGTTAAAAACTTGAGAGAACTCTGAAATGGACTTATTGGTATTTTTCGCATCAGTTGTTTTTTGTGTTTTCATTGATGCAGGTAAGTTTACAATTTTATATTAAATATTGAAAATGATACAGACAATGAAACAGGAGAATGATTTTTCTGAATACTCCCGAGACAAGTCAACGTTTTGTATGTATTTACCTTCATTTTGCAAGCAATATGTACTTGGAACTTGTAACTTTTTGACGGTTCTTCAGATGAAGTGAATCTTCTTATAAAGTTTTTGAATATTACACCCGGCTATCTACTTCAACTTGGACTTCAATTCCTAGAGTTACTGATTGATATGAATAATGAAAAATTCACCTTCTCCATTTGTCGAAAGCCGACTCATACTGACACAGTAATCCCCTAATTTTCTTGTCATCCGATATCCCATAAATAAGCTGCTTTCAACTCCCCCTTTTTTTTTTTTTTCTTTTTTTTATCGCTTGGATCCTCCAGATTTCAGCAAATAATTGGACATTATAAAACGAATTGGTCACAACAATGGCTACCCACCCCACCTTATTGATAGAATTTACAATAGACATCGACAAAAATGTATCAACCATTGTTTAATTCAACTCAATAGTTCTAGATCCTTTTTCTCTTCAATTTCATTCTCAGGTAAAGTATCCAATGATTTGAAGAATATTTTCCATCGTTTCAGCACAGATATTAACATTTCCTTCCATACTTTAGACACAATTTCTCAAAATTTCGTTAATACTTAAGACAATTTACCACCTACGTCTAAGTCTAAGGTGTATATGAAACCTCTTGTTCCGAACCCGATTGTCATGCCGATTTTCAAAGGCCGATCGCTGAAATTCCAAAATAAAAATGATTGAATTATCATTGAAGCGAATGTGGAATGTCGCTCTCATTGTTGTACCCATTCCATTGACAGCTTTGACATCAATATCAAAGCTTTGACGTACTTTTTCGCGGAGGAATATTATTTTCAGAGGCATCGGTAAGAAACTTCAACAACATAATAATATATGAATAGTAATTCAACCAACTAGTGTATTAATGAGGGCGATTGATGATCGAGATATTTTCGAGCAAAGCGAGCGCGTTAATGTTCGAGATCATTAATCGCCTTTTTAATATACGAGTTGGTTACACAATTTTTCCGTCGACTGTATCTCTCATTCATCCGGAAACTACTAAGAATCACCCAGTAGCCTGGTTACTGAGATTATAGTGACATTTGACATTTGTCGAAATGATCAACATTAGAAAATACTCGTTAATACGAGGTCGACGGAAATACAATTTTTATGAAATTCGTCCTCCATTTTGACTCGTGATTTTGACAAATCCCGCGCATGCGCAAATAGGTATTTTTACCCGCAGACTGCCATTTGTTTCCTCAAAACTGGCTTCACTTTCGACCATGGACCATCTAAATAAAATAAACAAGGAATTCGAGAGACAGTAGACAGTTGACTTGTTCAAGGATCTTTATAATGTCAAATGATAAATGAATGTATTTCTCACTTATGCGCGGCAGTACATAACTATTGCAGATTTCAATCAACGTATTGTTTTCAGGCAATGCATTGAGATGCTACCAATGCTTCGCCGATGGCGAAGAATACTGCGATAGTCAGAAAGTGGAATGTCCCACCAACCTACCAGGTTATTGCGGGAATTTAGTAGGAACTTGTGAGTAGATGATATCCTATATACCTATAGGTTGAGAGAGTTCAACAACCAATAAAAAACAAATCTTGGAAAGTTTTATTCACGTTTTATTTAGGGTAATCTATAATCAGCGTGTTCCACCTCAAACGACCCCCTCCTTTATATCTCAGCTATAAGTCTTGCCCTGTCGTGAGATACCTACCAACTTGTAACTGGTATGAATTACCAATAATATGATCAGTTTTTCGAACACAAACAACCTGATGGACAGTACCGTGCGTTTTTCAACCTTTTATTTCTCAATCTATAGAAAACCACCACACGAAGAGCATGTTATTCCTTTCTCTTCTTGCCATTCTATTTTCAACAAATTCGCTGCCTTTCATTCACTCTTCAACAGACTTTTCAGCATACCTATGAACCCTGAGCATTTCAATATTGAATTCAATACTATAAAACAAATAGGTCATAACAATGGTATTCCGAAACACCTTATTGATAGACTATACCACTACCATTCCCTCAAATCTCTGAACCAAAATTTTATACCAGTCACAAAAGCCAAATCTCGCTTTGCCTCCATTCCCATTCTTGGCAAGGTTTCATATGATATCAGGAATATTTTTCAACGTTTAGGTGTATAGAAATCAACATTTTATACCATACCATGGGCTCCATCGCACGCACTTTGGTCAACAATAAAGACAAAATTCCCCCCCTTCACAAATCAGGTGTTTATAAAGTCTCTTGCTCTGATTTTAATGCTCAATACAGGTCAGAGTGGTAGACGGATTCATACCAGAGTACTTGAACATGTGAAAATAATTGAAAAATCAGTGAACACCCATATTGATGAATATAACACAAAAAGTTCATTTGCAAATCATATCCTCAACCACCAACATTCTTTTGATATCAATAACGACCTGGAAATTCCACATATTTGCCAGAGAGGTGCTCTTCTCGTCCTTAAACGACTCTAATGTTATCTCACTCAATGAGCAAACTCATTTTGATTGCCAAACATTTTTCAATTCTCTGGTTTTTCATTAATCAACTTATAGTAATATAATTTTCATCTTTCAGTTTTGAAATCTTTTTCCTGCTTTGGTCTCAACTACTCTTTATGTTCATTCAAATTTCTTTACCAAGGTATCTACTCATTGTTTTAGGTCGAGTGGTGCTTCTGGTCGTCCACTATTCTTTATCTACGGACAGTTGACATTGTCACTGTCATATGTGTCTTGTCATCATAGAACTAACGTTTTTCGTTTTGTGGATTCCTAAAAACGCCACTTGTCCTCTATCATCTGAAGATGAAGGTTTGTTTTGAGTAATTATTTGACTCCACAGTTTTTTCAAATCATGATCATGTACGTCCTCATAGGGGTACAGGGCTCCTCTACAATTAACCTGACCTTTAACTGGTGCTAATTTGCACAATAATTGTATTCAATGTTTCATTCATTATGTGTGTTTTTTCATTTTCACGTGAGTAAATTCTCTATTTCATGCATTTTTCATGTTTGACTTATAGGATTAGGACCTTTGGTTTATAAGGATTAAGGCTGGTGACGGACACATTACTGTCCGAAACATGTTCCCCTAAATAATCTTCTGATTCATTTTACTTGATTCTTTGGGATTTTCTCTCCTCGTTTCTATAAAATAAAAGTATTCGTATTATTTCAATATACAGGGTGTTTCAAAATTCAGTATCAAGATTTTAGGGGCGTATTTTTCAGGTCAAAATAAGACGTTTTTGTCCATAAACATGTGTCCGCAAACGCTTCGTTACCGATCTACAGAGCGTTAAAGTTAAACAAATACACGATGAGACATCCACCAACTTTCAAATAATGTCAAATGCTTCAAAACAAACCTAAACGTCAAAATGAAAATAGCAGTCAAAGCCCACTAATTCGCTTTTTCATTGTTCCGTTGAAAATTTTAATTAAATGTAGCGAATCACAAAAATTGATTTTACTTTTTTCTCGATAACGATCGCAGATGCGTGAAAATTACAAGAGACAAAAAAATTTTTAAACAAAACAAAGAATTCATTTCGTATCTCAGAATTCACCAGCGGCGCACCACAAAAAAGTTTATGGGGTAAAAAAGGGCTTGACCCCTGAAAAAAATATCTCCCTGTAGATTCTCACAATCGCTCGGCATTCTGGATGATATAAGCCCTAGAACGTAACCTACATTCCAAATTTGATCTTAATATCTCAAAAAGAAAGAGCTATGAAGAAAAAAAATAAAAAAATCTTGAAACTTTAACGCTCTGTAGATCGGTAACGAAGCGTTTGCGGACACATGTTTATGGACAAAAACGTCTTATTTTGACCTGAAAAATACGCCCCTAAAATCTTGATACTGAATTTTGAAACACCCTTTGTAGAGGGACAAATCAGATGATTTGCCCCAAAATGTCACTGCGTTTAACAAATTTTTCTATCAGGGAGTCTAAAAGAAAAATCCAGTAGCTTGTCAGTGACAATTTGTTTGAAAAAATGTTTGAAGGAAAGAAATATAGATATATTGAAAAAATATCGAATTTGTACTTATCGTTGGACGTTTCGGGACCGATTCTGCTCCCGTTCTCAACATGTAAATGCAAATTATTTTTCTTTGAAAGTTGTGCTGCGTATATAGTTTGACACTTTTCAGTGTCATACTGATGTTGGCATATGAATGAGTGATTTTAGTCTACAAATGAGTTACAGGATGTTTTCATTAATTGATCTTGAATCTACCATTTTCATGTTCAGTTTTCAGTAGTGAATACCATGTTCTATCAATATCAACTGAACAGGAAGCAATGCTATTGTCTCCGTTTAGAAGAATGCAAGCGGATTCCTTTATTTTTCTTTTTTGTTTGTTATCTTCCTTTCCTATGATTTTGATATTATTCCACCGTACATTCCCGGCATATCTGAAAAAATAAAACGTGTTGGTGATAAGTTCCAAGTGAAAACTGTGTTCAAAACTGAAAATACAATGAGATCCATTCTAACTCAAACAAAGCCAAAAAATGAAGAACAATCATCAAAAAATTGTATTTATAGTATACCTTGTGTTTGTGGAAAGTATTATACAGGTGAAACGAAGATACCTCTCTCAGTAAGGACAAAAGAACACAAGTACAATATCAAGAAAAGACATATCGATAAATCGAAGCTAACTGAACATATCCTCACTGAAGATGGACAACATATGGCACAGTGGAATAATATCAAAATCATAGGAAAGGAAGATAACAAACAAAAAAGAAAAATAAAGGAATCCGCTTGCATTCTTCTGAACGGAGACAATAGCATTGCTTCCTGTTCAGTTGTTATGGAAAGAACATGGTATTCACTACTGAAAACTGAACATAAAAATGGTAGATTCAAGATCAATTTATGAAAACATCCTGTAACTCATTTGTAGACTAAAATCACTCATTCATATGCCAACATCAGTATGACACTGAAAAGTGTCAAACTATATACGCAGCACAACTTTCAAAGAAAAATAATTTGCATTTACATGTTGAGAACGGGAGCAGAATCGGTCCCGAAACGTCCAAAGATAAGTACAAATTCGATATTTTTTCAATATATCTATATTTCTTTCCTTCAAACATTTTTTCAAACAAATTGTCACTGACAAGCTACTGGATTTTTCTTTTAGACTCCCTGATAGAAAAATTTGTTAAACGCAGTGACATTTTGGGGCAAATCATCTGATTTGTCCCTCTACAAATATATTGAAATAATACGAATACTTTTATTTTATAGAAACGAGGAGAGAAAATCCCAAAGAACCAAGTAAAATCAATGTACCACCTCCTCGATTAACCTACAGACAATCTTCTGATTATTAAATGTTGTGGAGATGATTTTGTGTTTTTCAACCCTCTCTGACAGAATAATCTGGAATCATCTCAATAACAATCGATGGAACGATTAGAGAGAGAGATATTGTTCTAGAAGCTTCTAGAACAAAAGGAGGGTACGGAAGATCATTCGAGAACGTTCGAGAAGCAAAGTCTGCCAAGTTATCTGATATATAAGGATGGCCGGACATCTGCTGTTAGTCAGACAAGCAGCGAGTGTCAGAGAGACAGTCATATACCGCGGGATAAAATAGTTATTCGTTTTACTAGACAGAAAAGAACAAGATTCGATGCCGTGGCTGGCGTTTCATAGCCTTGGCGTATCCCAGGCTAGAAAACCAGCCAATACATTAAATCTTCTTTCCTGCCATGTGAAACATATAATTTTTGTTGAAAAGGAATATTCTCAGATAAATTATGAACATACAAAAATGGATATATATTTATATAAAGCAATACATTGAGAATTCGCATTCTCTATGTGATGAGAATATTTACTCTTTTTCAGTCAATTCAATAGAAAACAACTACTTTCCTGACTATATGCCACGACGAACATTGAATTATATCTATTGAACATACACGATAAGAGTTTGAAAATAAAATATAAAAATTTCTGAAATTGAGAATTTGCATTCTCCTTCAGACAAAAATATGTATATACACACATCATTCTGAATATTCAACAGAAAACAACTACTTTCCTGGCTATTTGCCACGTCGAACATTGAATTATATCTGATGAACATTCAAAAGGGGGAACATGAAAAATAAAGAATAAAATCCTCCGAAATTGAGAATTGACATTCTTCTTCAAATCGGATGAATAATATGATGAATAATGATCTAGAAATATGACTTACCAATATATTCAGCATTGAAATGAAAATTGGAATGTATAGGAGAAGTATACTGGCATGAACTCTGATCTTGATGAGCTTGAAAACTTCCAAAAATAATCATTCATATCAGTGATATGGGAAATATTATCTCTCACACACAGGTTATATGACTTTATTGCAATGAACCCATTTCGGATCTCTGAATCCTCATCAGTAACCATGATGTCCACTTATTCTTACAGCCATTCTTCATGATATACACAATTTTTGACGGATGGCAGATGACAGATGACAGATGACAGATGACAGATGACAGATGACAGATGACAGATGACAGATGACAGATGACAGATGACAGATGACAGATGACAGATGACAGATGACAGATGACAGATGACAGATGACAGATGACAGATGACAGATGACAGATGACAGATGACAGATGACAGATGACAGATGACAGATGACAGATGACAGATGACAGATGACAGATGACAGATGACAGATGACAGATGACAGATGACAGATGACAGATGACAGATGACAGATGACAGATGACAGATGACAGATGACAGATGACAGATGACAGATGACAGATGACAGATGACAGATGACAGATGACAGATGACAGATGACAGATGACAGATGACAGATGACAGATGACAGATGACAGATGACAGATGACAGATGACAGATGACAGATGACAGATGACAGATGACATATGACAGATGACAGATGACAGATGACAGATGACAGATGACAGATGACAGATGACAGATGACAGATGACAGATGACAGATGACAGATGACAGATGACAGATGACAGATGACAGATGACAGATGACAGATGACAGATGACAGATGACAGATGACAGATGACAGATGACAGATGGCAGATGACAGATGACAGATGGCAGATGAAAGATGACAGATGACAGATGACAGATGACAGATGACAGATGACAGATGACAGATGACAGATGACAGATGACAGATGACAGATGACAGATGACAGATGACGGATGACGGATGACAGATGACAGATGACAGATGACAGATGACAGATGACAGATGAAAGATGACAGATGACAGATGACCGATGACGTGTGACGGTCTACGTATGAGTTGGATGAAAAATGAATACATATATACAGTCTGTTCGAGACTAATGAATATCAGAGAAAACATATACAGAGCGACCTACAAAACCAGATTGGGCAGATCAAATATCTTGAAACAAATGAAATATCGAAAAACATATACCGGGTGACCTAAAGGATCAGAGCCAGATCACAATCTCATTGATGGAAATTGAAAAAATGTACAGTGTGTTCGAGACGAATGAATATCAGAAAAAAACATATACAGATCGATGACCGATGACCGATGATCGATGACAGATGACATATGACAATTCATCAAACTCAGGGTCTATCGGGAATGATTACAGAGATATAGTTTGTTCAAACTCGAGATTTTTCAGCTTCAGGATTTGTTTGTGCCGAAAATATTCATTTTCTGCCGAAACGGCTCACATATGTCACTATCTCAACTTTTCATTCAATATTTACTGATATTCAATCGGAGGGTGATCAGAATTCTGAATCTTGAACCAGCCAGAACTCTCAACCTCTTGCCCCTCGCCAGTCATCAATGTACCTTACTTGTGAGAAAACAAATTGCTTTTGATTGTGAAGAAATCACGAGAACCAATTACGCCTCTTATTCCATACATTATTCATTTCGACCTCAGTTTTTGATGGTTGACACAGTCGAAATCACGAAGAATTATCGCTGGACATTCACCTGAATCACCGTATTCTATGGTTTTGTTCAGTAATCAGAACATAGCTGTGTTCGTAGATTTTTCAGAACGATATCCATGCTGCCTCTCACTCAAGACAGAATGTTCATCAAGAAACGAATTGAGACGTTCCAAAAAGGCATATTCGAAATTTTTCGAGAGTCCACAAGGTCCACAGTGCGATAATTTTTTACAAGGGTTATGTCTTTCTTTTTGGAAATAGTGACTTTACCAGTTTTTAACTTTTGTGGCAAATCACCTCTCACATATGACGGATTTACCAGATGTGTTAATGGCAATATCATCAAAGGAAGAACTCCAATATAAACATCGGTTTGTCATCTGGACCAGACGATTTTTTATACTTCAGTTTGCTTTTTAACAATGAGAGTAGTTCATGTTCCGTAAATTGGTTCAAAAACATTGTGTAAGGGTTGAAATCCTTCTCATCATCAAATACCCCATTATTACTTGGAGGTATCTATTTAACCAATTCGATAGGAGCCTTTACGAAAAAATCATTGAACTTGGAGGCAATAGTTGCCGGATCTTCTTCAAGCCAATAACACGGTCTTCGAGAATGAAGTGAAAGAACTGCAAGTCAATTCATGTTCTATTTCACTTCGCGGTTACATAAATAACTAATAAACAACCACTATGTTCGCATTTTTTCAAAATCAAATCACAGAATTTGATTACTAGGAAACCTAATCACGAATCTGCGGTTGAGGTCTATAAAAAATAACAAGGTTTCATCGTGGCATATATATATAGCCAGGAAAGTAGTTGTTTTCTGTTGAATGAACCTAGGAAGAATTGATATTTTCATCACATAGAGAATGCAAATTCTCAATGTTTTTCTTTATATATATCCTTTTTTTATGTACAGTGTGTCCAGTTTTCGATGCTTTTGTGGGATATCTCAGTTATCTTTGGAGATAGAACCTTGCGGTTTTCGCGGTCCTGTGCCACTTTTTTGTGAAACTCAAGATGGCCTAATCAGATTTCGCATAACTGTTTCCGTTTATGAGATACAGGGCGATTTTGAAAATTTATACTTTTTGGACCCCCTCTATATCTACGAAGTTTCTCAGCAAAAATGTCAAATTAAAATCTCATCCCATAGAAAATTTCACGCAGAATCCAGTGGCGCACTCAAATTTTTTTTCGGGGTATGGTTTTGGAGATACGACTCAAACTTATGATTTTTTAAATGGAACACCCTGTATTTTATAAGCTCATAAAATTCCTCATGTTTTTCTCTTCAAAATGATTTATAATGTATGTATTATATGAAATTTTCAAAAATGCTCTGAAATCACTGAAACATTGAATTTTAATAGTGGGCTATGGATTTTTCTTACAAAAAAGTTCCAATTGAAGGAATATTTATTTTGATTTTTCCATAAAGGGGACAAAAACAATACCAACACTAATTACCTGATAGCAACAAATAAATAGTGATAAAAAGTTATAATGTAGAATAAGCACCAGATCAAATATTTACAAATACAATTGAATTTCAGAATTATTCGATAACTTATTCACTGAATTGTTCAAATTGATGTCCATTTCCCATAACACACAATTGACACAGTTTCTGAATATGTCTTGATACAGTAAGAGTCACAAATATCTTGAAGAACTTCGTGCAACAACAGAGGCAGTTTTCCAGGAATTACAAAGACATCCTTTAATGATTTTGAATGCATTAAGACGTATTGAGAAAGCGTGTGAGGGAAAGTGGACATCAATTTGAACAATTCAATGAATAAGTTACTATTTAATTGTCTTAGTGAATATTAAATCAGGTGCTTATTCTAGAATATGAACTTTTTATTACCATTCATTTGTTGTTATCAGGTACCTAATTTTTGTGTTATCTTAATTAACTAGTGTTGGGATTGTTTTTGTCCTTTTCATGGAAGAATCAGATGAAATATCCCTTCAATTGGAACTTTTTTTAAATGGAAAGTCCATAGCCCATAATTAAAATTCAATGTTTTAGTGATTTTGGAGCATTTTTGAAAATTTTATACCTATTCATCATATTTCATTTTGATGGGGAAAAAATAAGGAGTTTAATGAGCTTATAAAATACAGGGTGTTCCATTTGAAAAATCATAAGTTTGAGTCGTATCTCCGAAACCATACCCAGAAAAAATAATTTGAGTGCACCACTGAATTCTGCGCAAAATTCTGTATGGAATAAGATTCCAATTTGACATTTTCGCTGAGAAATTTCGTAGATATGGAGGGGGTCCAAAAAGTATAAATTTTCAAAATCGCCCTGTATCTCATAAACGCAAACAGTTATGCAAAATCTGATTAGGCCATCTTGAGTTTCACAGAAAAGTGGTACAGGACCGCGAAAACCGCAAGGTTCTATCTCGAAAGATAACTGAGATATCACGCAAAAGCATCGAAAACTGGACACACTGTACTTAATGATATCTGAGAATTCCTGTCCAATACTTTAACCTTTAACCCAATCAAGGGGTTCAAACTTGAACGATGTAAACTTGTTATTTTCAAAGACCTCAGTCGCAGATCCGTGATTAGGTTTACTCAACTCAGAATTTCTTTTCACGTCCTGTATGATGAATATCAATTAATCATACATAGAAAAAATATATATTCATTCTGCCGTTTTTTTCCAGACAGTGGGAAGCGTTATCACCACCAAGGATGCCTCAGAGTTAATAACTGCGATATAGCAGCTGATGACTTCAGAAAATTCCTGAAACTATCTAAGAATGACTTATTCGTGGTAGACTGCTCATCTTGTGCTACTGACTACTGTAACTCAACGAACAACCTATACAGTCATACGTCTACTGGTTCACTGCTAGGTTGTTTACTCCTAGCAATCCATCATTCCATTGTATGATATCATGATATATTAGAATAACACAAATAAACAAGCAAATAATGTTTCTTTTTCTGTAATACCAATAGCTGAAATTCTCATTAAAATAGCCAATTATTCTGCTAAAGTATAACGAGAGTAGATTACGTGAAGTTCAGATGACATGAAGATATAAATTATAAATCGAATTTCAGGCGACATTCTAAACAAGTGAAGATCCGATGAATGAAAAACAAAAATATCTTCGAGAATGCCTACTTATCTAGAGATTATCAATAACAATTTGACAAATTGACTGTTTAGAGTAGATGTCTAATTCATTATGCTGATTGCCACAAAACGGTGCGTTGAAAAACAGCACCTCACAAAGTAGCACAAAACAGGGCGTACAAAACAGCGGGTACAAAACAGCGCGTGATGAAATAGCCCTTAACAAAATGGCGCTTAACGAAAAAGCACTAATAACCGTATGAACCGCCAATTTTTTCTACAGGAAAACACTATACAGATTGGTTAGCTCATTTAGCAAGGTGATAATATATAGTAAACTTGGTATATTTCGATGCAAACAAAACACAAGCATGCCTTATCTCTAGAAAAGCCGATCTCACTGTCCCAACATAGGCTAGTCAGGAGTAACCATACCTTTGAAGACATCCATTTCGTTGCTTGGTATTACTATCAGCAATAACCTTTCATGGGAAAATCACGTGAGTTCAATTGCTAGAAGTGCATCCCAAAAACTTGATTTTTTGTTCCGGGCCAGGAGCTATTTCACTTCCAGTCAGCTGCTTTTGATCTATAAGGCACCAGATCCGACCTGTCCTGGGATACTGTTCTTATATTTGGAGTACAGCTCTCAACCATACCCTGAAACTGTTGGATTCTGTCCAAAAAAGGGCAATTCGTCTCGTGGGTGATGCCTCGCTCACAAACCCACTCACTTTTCTGGAACACCGAAGAAGAGTTGGCGATCTGGCTCTATTTTATAGATATTTTCATGGACGATGCTCTTCTGAAATATCAACAATTGTTCCTCCCTTGGCAGTCCCCGCAAGATTAACCCGCCGAGTTGAGGCTTCGCACCCCTTCGTGGTCACCTCCGAGTCCTGCAGAATATATCTTTCCAAAGACTCGTTCATCCTACGAACAGCGATGCTCTGGAACACATTGCCAAGGAGGAGGTGTTCCTCGAGGCCTATAACCTCCAGAAATTCAAGAAGAAGACCAATTTCTACCTTATTTCCCTCGGTTCTCACGATGTTCTCTGAACATTACAGGATATCCCTTTTCGTGGGAACCAGATCATAAAAAAAGTGCTTGGACCATAGTCATGTAACTCTTCATGACCATCGCAGTAGCAGTGATCGCATACTTCTATACTATCGAAGTTTTATCCAATCCAGGACGCAATATATACAGGGTGTTGCCTACCAGTCAGACAGCACCCAATAGCAAGGAAACCTGTTGTAAACCCTCAGATTTCACTCTAATGACGAAGGAGTTATGGGAAGCCACGTGTACCCTCTCCAGCAGCCTATTCATTGAATAAAACCAGTTGCATTCTTCATTTGCCGGCCTTTTCTCAATTGTTCATCTCTTGAATAAAGTTCATTGTAGTTACTTTTGTTGTTTTTCAAAAATTCGCTTCCTGCTATCGAATCCAAAATTTAAACGAATGTTTGATGGCGTGAAGTGTGTCAGAGCATTGAATCAAGAGGACTTTTTTGTGTGAAAGATATTGGCGCTTCAGAATGTTCGAAAATTACAATTTTTCCAGTGGCATGAAAGTTTGGGGGGTTAAACCCATACGAGGCGTTGAACTCTCCGCCACTGACATGTCCAAAAAAATTGATCAAGAGCTTTAGAAGTAGTCATTATTGATGATGAAGTGTGTACAAAGACTCAGCTCCGTAGCTCGAACGGTTCCTGAGATAAGAGCAAAAAACTGGATTTCTTTATTTTTCTTGACGCCCTGTATCTTGAAAACGGAAGCCCGAAGAGAAAAATTAGTATAGAAAAAAAAATGCTCTTTTTTCATAAGGAATCTAGAGTTGCCTGTTGTGACACTTATTTGTTAACACCCTGTATATGAGAAATCAATTGAGGAATAATATATCCTAGGGTTCTTCGCGAATCCGTTGGTGACTTTGTTGACGAAATCGTTCAAGTTTTTGAAAATATTTTACCTGTGTACACTCAACATTGCGAGGCTATTGAGTCGAGCTTCAGACATGGTGCTCCCCATAACCAGGTTTTGATTCTCCTGAGGCAACTAAATCACTTTTCAACTGTACAAGTCTTACAAGGTGAAGCAACAAGGAAGATCATGAAGATCTTCAATGCCCTCTTGATTTCAGGAAATAATCTGCTTTTGGAAGTTCTTGGCTCAAAGCATAGATTAACCTCAAAGTGAGCGTTATCGCATAAGTAATATTTCTCTCTCTCCACGTTTCTATAAAATAAAAATATGAGTATTATTCTAATATACATGTAGTAGGTCAAATAAGATGATATGCTCCAAAATGTCACTGCGTTTAACAAATTTTTCTATCAGGGAGCCTGAGAAAAAGTCCAATAGCTTTTCAGTGACACTTTGTTTGAAAAAATGTTCGAAGAGAAGAAATATGGATATAATAAGCATTCTACCGGTTATGTTCAAAAGTTATTGAACGTGCTATGGAAGAACAAATAGTGAATCACCTCAATTTAAATGATATCATACCTGAGCAGCAACCTGGTTTTAGAGCTGGACATGAATGTGTAACTTCTTTACTTAACTTAACTGACAATATGGTATGGTATGCAATAATAAAATTTCTGATATTAGGACCAATATTAGGACCAATACTGTTCATCATATACACGTCTTCATTTCCATGTTACATTCAAAATTTCCATGTTCAGATGTATGCTGATGATATAATGTTCACCTTTGATCCAAAAGATCTTCAGCAAAGTTGTAAACTCATTGATGATGACCTTGAGATGCTTTATAGCATATCACTAGAACACTCTCTACACTTGAATCCAACAGAATGTGCAGCAATGTTTTTCGGAAGACAAATTGATAGACTGAAACTATCTGATTTGGTTCATGTGGAAATCAACAATGTAAATATACCATTGGTGGAAGAGGCCAAAGTTTTAGGCTTAACAATTGATACTGATATGAGAAACGAAATCCATATATCTTCCTGTATACAAAAAGCCATCATTAATTTGAAACTTTTGTATAATTCGAGACATATTCTCAATTTAGAAATCAGAATTATGCTTTGTGATTCATTGATATTATCAATTTTCAATTATTGTGATACTGTTTACGGCCACTGCATTACAGCCTCTACAAGACAAGGGATCCAAAAAATTCAAAATACGCCAGTCAAAATCGACACAAAAAATCGGTAAATTCGCAAAACATGATGTATCTCTGATTTTTTAGTATGTTGTTTGGACCCAGTAGGGTAGTGTATACCCAAGTTTGCAACTCTCAAAAAGTTGTGGAAAAAGTGTAGCACACGAAAAATGCGAAATTTTCGGACTTTCTTCAGTTTTTGCTCTATATCTCCTAAACTATAAATTTTTCGACAAAAAATGTTATATACGTTTTTGAAGAACATCGAATGTTCAACAATTTTAATCCAAGGTGAGCTCTGTAGGTTGATTATTAACGAAACTACTTTACTCTGAATATAGGCAGTTTTTTTCAGAAAGTGAAAATTTCAGTTCTGGACCTACTTTAGACCAAAATTGCGGCAAAACCATTGATACTACGAGTAGAACTTATGATTTGAAAGTTGTAGGCCATTCGATCAGCTTCAAATTAAGCTCCCAGCGGGGTCTTTAGGCCTCGTAGTTCTCTCAAAATATCGAAAAAAACAATATCAGATAGAATCGCATATCTCCAGAAATGTTCCAAAACCTTTCCTATCTCTTGTTTTTCGGTGTGTTACGATTACTTAAGATACGGGGGCGTTTCCATGAAAAGTGAGACAAAAATTAATGAATTGGGCGTCGTGATTCCGAATCCGAAGTGATTTTCAACCTATTAAGACTCCTAATATCATTTTCCAAAAATTGGGGTGGTTCCATGGCTGTTGGCGAGCAGTGTACATCACTGAAGATTACCCCACTTGGTCATAAAGTGCATTTTCGGTACATCTCTCGCTCCAGCAAATTTCAGGATCCTTACCCAACGATTACGTAATATACAGGGGTGTTTCCATTAAAAGTGAGACACACTGTAAATTCTCTTCAAATATTTTTTCGAATAAAGTGTCACTGACAAGCTATTGGGTGTTTCTTTTAGGCTCCCTGATGAAAAAATTGTTAAACCCAGTTATATTTAGGGTCAAATCATCTGATTTTTCCTACTACACTTATATTGAAATAATACTCATATTTTCATTTTATAGAAACGAGGAGAGAAAATCCCAAATAATCAAGTTAGATGAATGTAAAACCTCCTCGATTAACCTACAGGCAGTATTCAATATCATGATGTTCTGAATATTCGAGATAATTATGTCGCTTCATTGTTCACGAAATTGTGTTGCCGAGCAACACGACCACGAGTCCGTCAGGTCGAGTGGTATCGCTGTACGACAACACAATTGGATATTATACTGATGACAGCCCTGTTTTTCATTGTTGTTGAATCATTTCACTATTATCAATGTTGAAGCCGGTATCCCTAGAAAAAAGTATAGTGTATCAGCACGGAATGCTAATTTCACACTCGTATGATTAGAAGCACAAAACTTCATACTCTCACACTATTTTGTTCATCCCTCAGTCACGCATAAGACATCGTTGAGTACAGACGTGTATTAAGCGATAAGAGCGAAACAAAAGTGAATCATAAGTGAATCATCATGGTGATTAGAAGAGTCAACACGCTAACATTAAATTTTAAAAATGTTAGGAAGAAACCATCGAATACAAATCTGCATATGTGGATCAAAAATGTGCTCAAATGTACGGTGGATCAAATAGTGGGAATCCAGTTCGATCATGTCAAGCACAAAATTTTCCTGAAGCTGGTATCCAATTGGCAGATGCAGGCAATCCTACAAAAGTTCAAGGATGGTATAGTTAAATACGTAGAAGACGGAGAAGAGTTTGATGTATACATAACTGAAGATACCGATGATATTCTAATAAAAATTTTCGACTTCCCTTTGGAACTCGAAAATAATAAAATCAAGGAGAAAATGTCACAGTACGGAGTTGTGAGGAGTATGAGAAATGAAAAATATGCTTGAGAAGGTCTATTTAATGTGGAAACCGGAATTCGATCGATGTGGATATCAATGAAGATGAAGAAACCAATCCCATCGTATATTACCATAGAGGGGTGTACCTCTCTGATAACATATGCCAATCAGGTGCGTACCTGTATGATATGTGAAGAACCTGGTCATGAAAGAAAAGACTGTCCGAGGAGAATAACAAATAGGATTAATGAAATCAGAAGACCAAGTGCTCCAGTAGTCACAATGATCAGTAGTGAAATATTACAGCAGGAAAGTACGGACTCTCAGTTAGAAATTCCGGAAACACAGCTTACACCAGCTATAGATGTGATAGTGAATAATGAAGAAGTGCATCATGAGGAGGAGGAAAAGGAAAAAAGTGAAGAAAGTTTGGATTCAGAGTTAGAAAGTGATACTATTGGTGATATCATTTCACCTACACAAAAGTGGCAAGAAGTTAAAACGAAAAATACTGGACTGAAGAAAAAGAAGCGAGAGGAAATGGAAACGAGTTCTGAAGAAGAAAGAAAGGTACCAAAACTGACCATCAAACTTCCACCTAAAGCCGGAAGGAGCTCAAATGGTAACGAGAAACCACATGAAGGAAATTTTGGAAATATAGATATAGGCGAAAGGTCAAGGGGAAAAGATCCATTTTTCTGAGTGAGTGTTTAGGGACTAACTGTATTTTGAATATCACCGTATCACTGAAAATATTTTTGATATTTTTTTCTTCTTCCGATCTGGCTTGGCAGTTTTATGATATATATAATTAGATATCAATTTCTTTTGCGATCATATATCATGTCACATTTACAAACTATAGCTACCATTAATTGTAATGGACTGAAAAACCCAGCAAAACAAAGTCTCTTGTATGATTTCATTAAGAAAAATGATATAGACTTACTTTTCGTTCAAGAATTGAATACGGAAGTCTTGAACAACATATTTGGATATTCAATGCTGAGTAATGTAGGGAATTCACAAAGAGGAACAGGCATAATTTACAGAAACGGGTTTGATATAAAAGATGTTTTGTGTTCAATGGACGGGAGACACAATCAATAATATCAGATATATAAATCTTTATGCGCCATCCGGATCACAAAACTATAATGAGAGAAAAAACTTTTTTCAAAACGATATCACCATGCACTTGAATTGTAATCTTCCCATGTTCTTACTAGGTGATTTCAATGCTGTAATACACAAAAATCAGGCACGTAACCAAACGAATATATGTAAAACTTTGCTAAACTTAGTGCAAGGGCTCAGATTGACAGATACATGGAATTTGATACAAAAGAATAAAATCGAGTATACCTATGTTAGAGAAAATACTGCATCTAGGATAGATAGAATATATATCACCCAAGAAAATAAAAGCTTAATTCACAGATGTGAAATAAAACCGGTAGCCTTCTCGGATCATAATTCGGTCATTGTAAATTTCAAGTTAAATCCAAATGATAAAGTACACGTCACAAATCACGGATGGGGTTTTTGGAAAATAAAACGTTCTGGTTTTTCCGAGGAAAATATTGAAAATTTCAAAAAAGAAATCACATATCTCAAAAATAATAAAAAATACAACGAAAATTTAAATGGATGGTGGTTTGGGATTTTCAAAAAGAGAGCTAAGGCTTTCTTCAAAAACATCGAAATCAATGAGGCTATTGAAAGTAGGAATTTGATAGAATTCTATCAAGAAGCTTTATTTGAAACAAACGGGAAATTGAGTAATGGTGAAAATGTGATAAATGAATACAGAGACAGAAACAACTGAATGCTAGGTACAATAACAAAATCAATAGCGAAGTGAATGATAGATATAGTTTATACGACTTTATGAAACAAAGAAAAAACAAAAATTCAATAATTTCATCTTTGAAAACAGAAAATGGCATCCTGCTCACAAACTCGAAGGAAATGATCAGACATGCCAATAATTTTTATGCAAAAAAATTTCAAGAATCACAAGTGAACGATAGAGATATGAGATGCCTTCTAGCATATATTAAAAACAAAATTCCAGCACACGACAGTATAAGATTAGAAAACGAGATAAGCTTAGAAGAACTCAAGACAGTGCTCCTGGAGGCTTCTAAGAAAAAAACACCAGGCATAGATGGACTCTCATACGAATTTTACACGATATTCTTTGACGAGATAGGCTCGGACCTGACAAAACTTTTCAACTCGTTTCTGTCTGGTCTGTCATTGCCCCCGAAAGAATTTGCGGAAGCAGTTATAACGCTCATACCAAAGGTGAAAAACGCAAAAGAACTGAAAGATTTTAGACCAATTACACTCCTCAACTCTGATTACAAACTGCTTATGAAAATTATGGCATCTCGATTAAATAATATCAGTAGTAGGACGATCTTTGGATCAGAACAAACAGCTGGCAACAATACATCTATATTTAATAACTTAATGCAAACCCGGGATACAGTGCTCTACTTTGAGAAAGAAAAACGAAAGTCCGGTGCAATTTTGTCTCTTGATTTCGAACAAGCTTTTGACAGGGTAAACCATAAATACTTATGGGCAGTAATGGAGGCAATGGGTTTCAATGAAAAAATAATAACTCTTTTCAGGAATTTATATAAGACTGCCAATTCAAAAATTCTACTCAATGGTTTTTTGTCAAATGGTTTCAATATCAATAGCTCGATCAGACAAGGCTGCCCAATGTCAATGACACTTTTTAGTATATCAATAGAACCTTTCATAAGACTAGCTGATTTTGTTATGAAAGGAATCAATATTAATGGAACTGTAAGAAAAATTTCATCTTATGCGGATGACGTGACATTATATATTGAAGATGAAACAGATGTTAAAAATATTGATAGAATAATAAAAATTTATGAAAATGGAGCCAATGCGAAAATAAATTTTGATAAATCGGCAATTATACCTCTTGGAAAAATGACGACAGTACAACAGAGTTTCATTAGTAATTTCCCTATAAAAAAGGAAATAAAAATCTTGGGGTTGATTGTTTCGAATAACTTTAGAGATATGGTGAACGCGAACTGGCAAAAGGTGATTCAAAATATAAACCTAACATTAATGTTCAGTCATGTCAGGGATCTAGATTTGATCAGAAAGATCTGGTTTGTTAATGTTTATGTCTTATCAAAGGTCTGGTTTCTGGCACAGGTTATACCACTACCTAGAAAATACAGTCAAAGAATGGTTCTCTCAACAGGGAACTATATATGGCAGGGAAATTTGTACAGGGTATCTAGAGAACAGTTATACTTACCTCATAATAAAGGAGGGTTAAATTTAATAAATATCGATAAAAAAGCATTGGCACTCTTTCTGAAAACACAAGCTTTATCATGGACGAATGTGGGAAACAAAATAGTCTATAAATCGTTAATCAATAATATTTTTGAGGATGATCATAATGACGTTCACCCATTGATCAAAAATATCGCGAAGAATATAAGAGAGTTTGATTTTCAATTCTCCAAAGATACAGTCAAGACAGCTAAAACAATTTATCGAACAGTCATGGAAGAAAGGATAATGACTCCTACGATAGAGATCAAATGGCCGCAATATAATTGGACTCGTATCTGGTCAAATATTTTGGGAAATTCTGATATCTCAACAAAATGGGTGTCTGCTGTATATAAGGCAATAAATGAAACTTATCCAGTTAACGAAAAACTCAAAGCACATGGGTTAAGAATGAGCGAAGATTGCAATAAATGTAATGTAACTGATAACATATCGCATAGACTAACAATGTGTGGAACAGCTAGAGATGTATGGGAGTGGACAAAGAATAAATTATCTAAAAAATTTGGTTTGTCAATCATGGCCACTGACCTGAAAGATTTGTTCAGTTTTGATATGAGCAATAAACTAGATAGGAGGGTTTGGGTATGGTCAATTTCTGGACTAATATATCAAAATTTTGAGCGTCAAACCCAGTTGGATGAATTTATCAATTTATTAAGGCAAGATAGGTATATCAAGATAAAATCAGGAAAAATAGATACATTTTCCAAGAAAATATTTTATTTTTGATAGGACTTTTCCTACAATGTGCTGTGATACCCTTATTATATATATAATATGTATATAACTCACATATATACCTAATAAATTTTATTGTATAGTAGACACTAAATATACTCTATATTAGTGTTATGGTTTAAAAAAAAAAAAATCCCCATTCAGAGTGGATAGATGAAGAAAGTTCAGGAAATATGCTACTTTGATATGGCACCACTGTCTTTGATTTACAGTCTGTCTCTCTCACACACACAGCTTTCATCAAGTGCCGTCAAAATCATTATTTTGCCCGTGCTCTCACAAGTTTCCAAGCGACCCAAGCAGACAGCAAGAGGTCTTTGTGAAAGTTAGTTCTTCTTATAGAAATTGCTAGAAACCAGTGAAATGGCGTACATCATCCTTTCAGCTCTAGCTGTATTGCTCGCTGTGAATACAGGTAAGTCAGCCTTTGAAATAAATATTAGGTATTTGATATTTGTAGCGTGAATATCTCTTGATTATTATTCTTCTTCCTCATTGAATCATCGATTTCTTACTAGATACTTATCGTGTATTTTTTATTATGACCACAGATTATACAGAGGGTGGCCACGAAAACGTACACCGCAATACATTACAGGCTGAGAAAGAACTTTTCAACAAAATCCATATAGGTATCTACATTATCATGTCAGATTTGTTCGTTAGGTGACAACTTTCGATGCAACAAGCGTAATAAGATCTTCAACCACCTGAGTGCAGGTGACATCCCCCCAATTTTTTCATATAAGAGTGGGGATAAAGCTCGGGATAAAGTGATACCCTCGGTGATACCTCATCAAAAAGTGCTATCAATACTTCTTTGTTTCTGAAAATCAATAATTCACTCTAGAAAATATGGATCCTAGAAATACCAACATGAAGTATGACGAAAAATTAAAAAAAATATTTAATTGTACTCAAAAGGTTTCCAGCAAAAAATTTAGGTCGGCCCAGAATATGTATTCATATAAAAAAAGACAACTCCTACTTTACCAAGCAAAGTTGAAAGGTACGTTGATGCAATGTTGAAACGGATGTTCAGCGATATTGCAAATGTGAAGTTTGATAATGTAACATTGCAGCAATATTTCATGTTGCTGTGACATTAATGGAACGTTACATTCACAAATTTACATTCGCAATATTACTGAACGTCCGTTTCAGTAATTGCTGAAACCTTGCATCAAGATAGCTTCAAAATTTGCTTAGTGGGACGGGATTAGAACCCTGGTCCCCCTGTTACAAATCGAACTCATTCCGACTGAGCTACTACACCTTTCTTGAGATGATGTGTGTCCAGAATTTATTCCACTTTGAAATAGGAATATTTCATCAATAATTATCAGCATCATAACAGATATATATACAAACGATGAACAGGGAATTTCTGTCATACCTATTTTATGAGTCAGACGACTTTCCTATTTTTAGATGAAGCCGAATTTTATGACTCCTTGATAATATTTGAATGCAATAAATGAACATACCGATATATGAAATCAGCTTCATCGCCGAGCCGAAACTGCTGAAGCAATGATCGTGCAATTTGGCAACATAGTATACTTTCTATAACGTAGGGTACCTACCTATTATATGTATAATAAGAGATATCACGATTGTACACAATTTCCACTCAAGGAGGGTGAAATAGGGGTTAAAACTCGGGTTGGAATAGGTCTCGGAATAAATCTTGTATGGAGGGACACTTGAAAATTCCATTTTCCAATTGGAACTGTAATAATATAATCGTACTCTATTTGGCACGGTGCGGGCTAGATTATAATTGAACGATTCCAACATGCCATATAATAGGTAGACGATTGTATGACGAATGTAAAAACATAATATGATATGGCACTATTGGTCCAGTGCCGGCATAATTATTGGCAAACGATTACAATATACCTTACAAGGGCCGACGTTTGAACGGTGCTGCTTCTCCATGGCCAGCAATCTGCCGACCAGAGAAGACGGCCAGAGATTTGATGTTTGCTGGGTTCAACACAGTTTCAATCTTGAGTTCAACAATGTTGGAACACTTTATCCCTAAGCATGGGTGGTCATGTATCTTGATATTGGGGGATTTGGGGGGGAGGGCATTTTGTGAAATTACCTACTTACACAAAATACTCATATACAAAACGCAGTATGTTCTATTTTATATAATTGCAGTTATTCGAATTAGTTGATAAACAAAATACTGACATTCTACATAACGAACTCTATGTTTCGCCTCACTCCACTTTTAGAAAACGCGCCTATGTCGCCTATGCTTAAATCCGGTCCTGATTTTGAGGTGTTTTTGGTTTTTATACTAAAGCTCTTTCCCAGCCTGTGATGCCTTGCGGTGCGTTTTAGATGGCCACCCTGATTATACACTGTTATTATGACCGATCAAATACCTACCATATCGATTCATGGCAAACACTTTAATATGCATGGTTCACGTTCATTCAGCTTGCTAAAGGTATTTTTTTATCTGTTGGTAAATTATTGATATACCTATACAGAAACCTAGGATGGTATATAGGTATATCAACTAGTGGCGTCGATGAAGTTTTCTCTTGGGGAAGGTTATGGCTTTTTGGTTCAGGTAATGAAATAACATCATGTTATAGAGACCCATAAACAATACACAGCATGTCTGAGTTCGAACCGCCTCCGCTCTATATATTTATATATATCATGATATATCATCAGCTATAAGTCGAGTGGAATTGTTACCAAATTTGGATCGGTGTTGATAACTATATCAATATGATCTGTTTTCCAGAGAAGAACATATCGGTCAGTGCAGTGCATCTTTAATAAAATGAGGAATTGTCATTTTTTTGTGAGATCATAGTCAGGAATATATTTACAGGGGAACTGACGTCATAATATCGAGCACAATAGTATTTTTCATGGTTACTAATTCCCCCGAAAATTCCCCTTTGATTTTCATATAATTTCTATAAAGGGTTTCAGAAAAACGGGTAGTACATCTAAACAGAATATTTGCGAACGTAAATAATTATGTGTTTCATAACTCATTCCATTCTGATATTGATTTGTTTTCTTGTGAATTTTTGAATTTTCGGAAACCAATACCGATTATCTACATCTCTGTTATAATAACCTATATATATTCAGATCCATTTGTATTCGTTTATATGGTACACATGTTACTCTCTCACAGGGTGAGGAGGAGAGATCATTGTCAGATCAAGTATGAAAATAGGTATGATCCTGTGATAGATTTCCATGCGAATTCTTCAATAGTTTTTCGACATAATTTTTCTTTAAAGTTTGCACTATAGGTCTTGTTGAACACTTCAATAGCAGCAATCATTAAATATGAGAATGTGACGTAAGTAATCACTATATCTTAATATCTACATTTATTAAATACCTTGTTATTATATTGGTACAACAACAACAACAACAACAATAACAGGTACTTAATACTTGATGAATGATATACAGCTGGCCTGGCCCTGAGCTAAGCTATCGATATCAATTCTTCAAAACAAGAGAGCAGTGTTGCCACTTGCCAGCTTTTGGTTCCAGGGGCGCAAGTTCTGTTATATTGCTTGCTTCAAATACCAAACGTTTTACTTGTCTTCTGTCTTCAGTCCAGAAAATTTCATTGTTCCAAAATTATTCATGATGCAGTAAAGTGTAATAGGTAGATACCTCTCATTCTAGGTGAACAGTAGATTTGCATCAAAATCTCATCCTGATTATAGCGGAATGTTGTTTCAAAACACGATGTGAAGATATTCCATTGTAATGCCTGATAATTGTGTGGGAATATAAATTTGATATAATGTTATTACTCGATTGAACATTTTTCATTCCCTGTTCTCAAGGACTGTTTCAATGAGCTTCTAAGTATTAGTGCGTTATTTCATTTTTCTCTCCAATTCGTGAAAAATATGCTGTACACATCAGCTATGCCATCTTTTATCCAGTTTTCTCAGACAGATCGCTCCATGTTGGGATCGAAATTTTACTGAACTCAAACATTACTCTTTGGTGAACGAATATATTATCAGAAATATATTCTGATGTTTGCATGGAGGTCCACGGCTAAACATCCTAGAAATTTTAGACATTCAAACACCCAAATGTCAATTGTCTTGTAATGACCGAACAAATTTTGAACAAACCCACATATTAACGACATTTCCCGTGATCTAGCGACATTTTTGATCATGAATCCTCATTTTCAGTTAGTTCATAATATCAAATGAAAAATCGTAGAAAACATCATTCGTTCAGAATGAAAAAAGATTAAAATGAGAAAAATTCATTTCCATACAAAATTTCATGTCCTCGTTAGTACTTGAAGTATTTCTTTGATCAAATCACACATTAATAAACATATCAAACAACATCAACTCATATTTCTAGCTCCACATGATACAGATCTGCGACTTCATTGCTATAAGTCACATTGGTTCTTATAAGTTTCAGTACTGATTTGGGCAAAATAAAATCTCCACAAGCATCGAATGTCGCATTCACCTACTATAAACACTAGATTCAGCGACAGAACCTCTAAGGCAAATCTGGTGACTAGTGAGAGTAAAGAATATTTATCTACTCACTGCATCGAAAGACAGCGTCTGCTCTCTCATTTAAGGACACAAACCTGTCGATTTACTCCCACGGGAGTAAACAAAAGTTTACCTGCCAATACCCTGTGGAGTATTCTCTGTTTTCACAACTTTGCAGATGATAAAGCATCTTTTCTCTATTTGAAAGTAGCTGTTGCACCTCCTCTTGGATTCATCTATTCAGGTAGGTATTTGAATATTGTTTTACGTTTTACATGATTATATTCAACCTGAAAATTAAAATGTTAGTGCATACCGATGAAATGCTGCCGTTTCCCCTCAGCTCCACCATGTCAATCCAACTCGACAACCTTGAGACCTGTCGAACAATTTTCTACCATAACTATCGTTTCACATATATAGAACCCAACATTCTCTCCCTTTTTGTCCCATATGCATTCTGTGCTATCCTAGGGATACAAAATTTTACCGTTTATTAATATTTCAGCTAATGGTATCGTTTGCTATAATTGCAATTCGAAGGACAGTGAAAGATGCAAGTGGGGATTCACATCGTTCACCTACAGTACCGAAGAATGCGCTAAAACCGCTGTTATTGACAGCATTCTTCCAGCCAAATGCTTCAAAATCACTGCAACCAGTAAGTACAATGTTACGAAAAACAAAAATTGAAAAATTTTAAGAAACTCTTTCACCAAATAGTCCCAAGTTGCATGAAGATGTGTCTCTGATAAATAAATGATCATTTGACAAAGGTATACCCTGTACATTTTATTATAGGTAGGTAGGTACTTATGATTTAGAGTGCCTATGATTCAGCGGCGGATTTACCAGTATGCTTAGTATATGCTTAAGCTCGCAGGGGCCTCGTGAAGGCTCTCTCATTGCATCATTATTATCCCATATCATTGATTTATTTGTTTGTATAAAAATGAAATATTGACAATACATTTTTACTCTGAGCAATAGTCATTTTATATAGCAGCAGTGGCAACATTGCAAGTCGCTCGACAGGGCCGGACTGACGGTACAAAACGGACCAGGCCAATTTATCTGTCAAAAAGTGTGCGTTGCAGGCGTTATTTTATCTCGAATTTCAAGGTCGACTGCTTAATATATGTAATGTTAGGATATTCACCACCAAAAATATTGAGTAGTTGATTTCACATTTTCTAAAATAAAACGGATTTTTATAAGAGATAGATGGAACAGAATAAATACACTTCTTTGATACCAAGACAATTAACAAAATATAATGATACTAATGAACATAAAACAGGCACGTATACATCAGCTTTGTTCCATAGGAAGAGAGGGGTTAATTCGTGCTACGGGGGTGACAGAAAGAAGAAAAAGCACCGCAGGCAGAATTATTTGCTGTTCAAGGTCAACTACATTCAAATCGATAGTAAGGTTTGTCAGAGGGGTATCATGAAGGTGGGAGAGATGATTTCAAATTCACCAGAAAATTTGAATTTCCTAATAGCAACAAAAATCGAATTTTAATGTCAAGTTTACTTCGACATAAAAAAATGCTGAGTGTTATATTCGGTAAGATTATATTGTTTTTGCTGTCATAATGACAAAATCACAGCGGCTTACAGGATGTTATGTACATAAATCAAATTGTCATATATAATACCACAAGTGATGATATTTTGCCGGAAATATTCGGTTATTGTTAGGACAGCTTGTAGCCTAGTAATTTCGTGAATGACATGGTTATCAAAACTATACGAGCCGCAGGCGAGTAGTTTTAGATCAATGTCATGAGCGAAATTTGAGCAGCACGCTGGAGTATGTCAATCGACGAATATTTCCAGGAAAAATAGTATATATATAAGAAATAGGCAACATAATTTGAGTATATTCCAACTCAAACTGCGAAGAAGAACATAATGATAGTAATGAAATATACAGAATTCAATTTTTTTGAAATTTACTACTTAGGGTAAAAACTCCACTACTAAAAAAAAATAACGGAAAAAAAGTGTTTCCTGGCAACTCCCCCCCCCCCAGGTACGGAGAGATGCCTACAGCCATGCGGAGAGATGCCCAATGTTAATTCCCATAAGGGAGGATGCCGCAATTTATTGTTGTAGTTCTGCACGTGTGCATGGGTTGCATCTTATGCAGAATATCCAATCTACTGTCTTGGAGGTTTTACTGTGATCCTCAAAACATTCCACGCAAAAAATTGTTTGTCAGTATCTTGCTTGGCTAATTCAGGATTTTGGTTTTCCTTCAAATCGGGTAAGGGAATCTCATCTTCGCTGTCGGATGTGAAGTTATTCGATGTTCTATGATCGGTAAAATATAAAATTATGCTATTTTATTATTGAAACTTTTGTGGCATCTATCCGTATCAAAAAGTGCGGCATATCTCCCTTTTGATACGGATAGATGCCTCACCAGCCTACGCCTGCGCCTTATGACTGTGTAGCCGAGAATACAAAACAAAATCTTAAATATGCCTTATATAACGCTATGAATGTCAAATTATCCCATTTTGTTATTTTAAACTCACTTCCCCAATACTATTAACAACATACAAATAAATATTAAGCAATAAAAGTACATCTTAGCAACTTTATTCCCACAATTCAAGTAAAACACTTGCTCAATCGAAGCAACCACCGCATGCAAAACAATAATGGCCGAATTGCTCTTCCATCATGTCGAGATTTGTTGTCAGGTGTACATAGTTTTCGCGTCACGTGGTCTGCGGCATCTATCCCCCCGCGGCATCTATCCGTACTTTACCTTATTCACAAAGTGGAATACACAATTTTGATAAACAGTATTTTTTTATCATCTTGGAGATGGTTGCTCTCAAGAGAGTGTATACAATTGCTATCCAATTCAAACAAAACAAATTGAATTTATGTGACATGAAATAATTGAAAAAAAGATATCGTCGCCGAGGAGTTCGAACCATCGACCTTTGTATCTTCGCGTAACAACCCTATCAGTTGCGCCACATCATCTAGTATTTATATTAATCACTCAATAACTTGAGTGATTGATGACGATTACTTCAAAAATGAATTTGAATTCTAGTATTGTTGTGTCAGACCGTCAACAAATATGCAAACTTTCTAAATTACACATGGAACGTCCAGCCAGAATAAAATTGTCTCGCCTTTCGTACAAAATGTTCATTGCTAAGTGTTATTATTCAGAGATCCAACTTATTATATCAACTTTGTGCATCAGTACTGACCCAACAGTTTGTAATTCAGTTATCGTCTTCCAAGATGAATAATCACATACCTAAAGTTATTGACTCATGAATCACATTCAGCCATGAACGTATCCACTGCAAAGATATAAACAATAGTATAGTGTTTCGTTTATACAGGGTGACCGTCTCACGAGCCAAAGAAAAGCTGCCCAATTTATATTCATAATTATTATTATATGTATAGTAACGCCGTTTTATAACATTTTTTGTTTCTTCAGAATCTCCCTGAAATCTAGAGCAAAGACATTTTCATAACAGTTTTGAACAAAAAATATACTTCCTAGTAAAGCTTGAATTCTTCAAAAACAGAAAAATGAAATTCTGAGAATTGACTAATTTTGTCACATCAATTTAGAAACTTTTCAGGGGTGCCTCTGCCTCCATTGAAAACACCATAACTTTTTCCATGTATCTTGTTTGACTGTTATGAAATTCTAGAATTGTTTAATGAAAAAGGGGTAGAAGTACTCTTGTTGGCCTTAGCTGAGAGGTAATGTATTTTATTACAAAATTTTAATAAAATAATATACATACCTATATATGCAATCAAACAATATAAATGCATGATGATATATATAGAGAAACGTGAATACACCAGAGTAAGCCATGAAAATATATCTAACATTATGAATGATTATGATTTATAATGAAAAAGTTATGATATATTCCTGGAATATGTTCCCATTCATTCATTATCGATTCTCCTGATTATTTCATTATAGATACATTTTTATCGATATGGTTGTCAGTTGTGACATTACTTCGAAATCAATATGTGAAATCGGATCGTTTATTGGAAACTAATTTTTCTATCTCGGAAATTTTTGTAGGAGTAAATGTTGGAAATACTGTAGCTCCTCCTGAAGAATTTTTTCCTATTTTCGATGATGAAATCTTTTGAGTTTATACACGCTATTTTTCATATAGGGGTTCCCTATCGTGTGCTCCAAGAGATTGAAAAAAGAAGATAGATGCCTATACAGGGTGTCCCGAAGTTACATAGAAATATTTCTAACACATCAGATTCTAGGAACAAAAATAGAAAAAGAATTTCATGTAAACATGCCCAGAAATCACTCCTGGGGAGTTAGTTATAAAGTTATAACCATCTGAAACGACAGGGCCCGAGATGATGTTTTTTTGTAAATATTTTCGGAATCCTTTGTGATGAGATGATCAAATTTTGTGCATATATTACTTTTTATGCCCGATTTGGAAATGTACAAAATTTTCCGGAATTTTTATCAGGGGCGTGGGTAATAGGTGGGGCTAGGGGCTTTTCTTCCCTCAACTTTAAGTTCCATACACGGTATAAATTTTTGAGTTGATTTTCACGCCACACAACTTTGTGTCAATCACACCGGATTGTGTGATCATTTTATTCTTACCCTGTGGGTAATTCTGACACAAAATGTCTCAGAAGTATGACATTCATTAAAATTGAGTTCTTGATGAAACTAACTGTGCATTTATATTTTGACGAATAGCTTCATTCAATAGGAATGTTTACCGTGTAAAATTTTTGGCAGGTTGACCAGGAAATATATAATTATCATAATTTTACTCAAAATATGAAACTCTAGTTTAGTTCCGATAGCACTCACCATTTTTGAGATTATTTCGAAAGTCTCCTGCGCGACAAAAATAGTGCTTTTTTCTAATAATAGAGTACCAAATTTCCCCAAAATTGTGTTTCGATGGAAAAAAAATCTTTCTTCAACATCTACTTTTGATATTTGATTCAAAATACGGTAGAAACGATAAAAATAATAAATTTGAAAATATTATGGTAGGTACCTACCCTATCAAGAGACAGTAATAGTTTTATTACGCAGCAGACATTTAAAATCGATTTATATAAAAAATGCCAGGTGGCAATTTCTGGGCTTTTATTTTTATGAATATTTTTCACTATTTTCGTTCCTAGAATCTGTGGTAGAAATATTTCTATGTAATTTCGGGACACCCTGTGGATAGATATACACGGTGTCCGAGAACAACGTACCATACATCGCGCGGTAACTTTCTTTGTCGAGCGGCAATCTATCACTTTGCGCTCTAAATACACAAATAGCTATAGTATCGACTCGAAATTCGATAAAGATATATACCATTTACATAATAAGAATGAATAATATTCAGTACTTGAGCATATGATATTGTTGTTGGTCATCTTCAATTTTTTTTCTTTCGAATAAAGTGTTTTTACCAGAAATCCTGAACTGAAATGTGGATACCTTATGATGAAGAGCTTGCGAATTGGTGAACATGAATATTGTGGTCAATAACTCAATACAAATAAAGTAAAAACTAGCAAAACATCATATTTCTGACATCATATAAAAGGGTAGTATGGAGAAGAACCAAAATGAGTTTAGTTATTTATCTCGAGAAAC